ACCTCAAACTCCTGGGCTCAAACAATCCTCCTGCCTCGGCCTCCCAGAGTGTTAGGATTACAGGCATGAGCCATCGCGCCCGGCCTCTTTGTTGTTTTGTTGAGACAGGGTCTCACTCTGTTATGTCTTCTCTTTTTTCTTCTCTAACCTCCAAAGCCTACACAGAAAAGTTACCTTATTTGCAAAGATTTTTTTTGGTGCATTCGTTCGTTGAGGATGTGGTCCTTGCTGTATTGGTGGACTCCCCACCTTCCATGGAATCAAGGGCTTGTCCCTCTCTTCATGAATGACCTTCAATCCCCAACGCTTTGGAGTCTTGATTTTAGGAAACACAGTTGGGGCAGCTGAAGTATTCTGGCTTCATGATTAGCCTTTCTTTGGTGGCCTCTGTGGATTCCTTTTACTTTTGAGCAAGCTGTGACAAATTTAAGAGGCTGTCTACTGGGGTTAGTCCACATTTGCGGTGTTTTGTGATGAGAGGGTTTTGCAGAATGATATTCCTAAAACCCCAAATCGATTCTGATACTGTGATTCTTGAAACTCTTCTGTGGTTTCTCTGCTGCTCCCAGGGAAGTGCCCACCCTCTAAGCCTGACACCTAAGGTCCTCCCCGACCTGGCCCTGGCCCAGCTTTCTGAGTGTCTCTTTCTTCCCCTACCCTGCAAGTTCAGCCCTCCGGCTGTACCTCCAGGCTGTCTCCTTCCTTGGAACGCTAAGTTCTCCCCTGCAGACCTTCCCCACGGAGGTGCTGGTGGGGTTCAAACCACACATGTGAGATGCTTAGTACAATGTCTGGCATCGACCAGAGTGCATAATATTAGGACTGAGCAACAATGGGAAAGACATTGATGCCGATACTGATAATGACATGTTTATCTTGCCCATTCTGAAATCTTCATGGACATTGAGCTCTCCTGGAATTTTCGCTCATTTGGGAAAAACAGTTCCCCTGGAGCAATTGTTCTCAGCTGGGACAGTTTTGCCCCCCAGGGGAACTTGGCGAAGGACGGAGATATCTGTGGTTGTCGCGAGGAGGAGGGTGGGTGCTGCCGGTATCCAGCGGGTAGGGGCCAGCGACGCTGCTCAACATTGTGCAACGCCCGGGACAGCACCCCTCGCCCCCGCCACGAACACACACCGAGAGTGATGCGACCCCACACGTCAGCACTGCCGAGGTGGAGAAACGCTGCCCTGGGAGGGTGTGTGTGCCAGGCTCAGGTGCTTTTGAGGAAGGGCCTGAGACGTTAACGACTCTCCACTCAAGGTTGCAGTCTGTGTCCTAGCTTGTCAGATGCATCCTGTGCAAACAAAGATGAACCGAATGAGAACAAGCAAAGGCTGTTTACTCAGAGACTGCCATAGCACAGCAATAAGGGAGTCAGACATTGTCATCTGCGTTTGTTTTAGACTCAAAGGTGGGCAGAGGACTGGGATGTCTTTACAGCGGAAAAGAGAGAGGGCTTCAGGCATGCCCTGATCGGAAGCTGTTGGCACGGGGCAGCGGCAGGTGGCTAACTGGACGCGGGCTGTCCTGTGTGATGGGTCAGGAGTGCATATCGGCTTCCCCTGTGGGTCTTAAGTTGGAAGCAGGGATAAAACTTAGGGACCTTGTCAGTTATGAACCAAGTCCTGGTTGTCCGGGGATGACTGCCACCAGGGTCACTGTTTGGCTTGCTGGGTTGGCCTGCTGGTCAGGTTTCCCTTTTATGGACGGTCTCGCCCTTGTCCATTTGTATATTCAGTCTCTCGATCTTTTCTGCTTGACTTGGCAGGTCAACTTCATCCTCCTGACTTGGACATTATGCATCCTGAGGCAGAAGCTTTCCAGTGTCAACGCCGAAGTCTCGACACTAAAAGACACCAGGTGCGGCCCTCTTCCCTTCCCTTCCCTTCCCTTCCCTTCCCTTCCCTTCCCTTCCCTTCTTTTCCTAGTTTCCATTCCTTCTTCCCACAAAAGTCCTCTGTGCACCTTTTGTATGCTGATCCTGTGCCCAACACAGAGGGGGTCAGGTCTGTTTAGAACAGCACAAGGTCTAGATCAGGAGGCTCCAACCTCAGGGCTGCTCCCTAATAGCTGTGTGACCTTAGGCAAGTTACATAACCTCTCTGAACCTTGGTTTCCTCATCTGTAGACTGAGGATATTAACACGGCTTACTATATGTGGTTTATGAAGCCTTTGGCACAGTTACTGGGCACAGTAAGTGTTGCATATATTATAACTATTTATAAATTTTCTAATTCTCCTCTATGCATACTTATATGTGCATATTTACAAGAAACAGAATCATATGATTTTTATAATTTTTATATCCTAATAATATCATTAATATTTAACACTTAATTAGAAATTATTCTACAATAATTTTTTTCCATAGCATTTCAGTGTAAAGATGCAGTTCATTGTATTTATAACATCTCTTATTCATAGACATTTAAGTTGCTAATGTATTTGTTTTTATAAACAATACTGCCTTGAATACCCTAGTAGGTAAATCCTTCTACATTGTGGTTATTTAATTATAACACTATGTGAAAAACTTCCTGGATAAAGGGTAGGTTAGATTGGAATGCTTTTAATATAAACATATGTATATCTTCCGAACTGGTTTCCAGTAAATTTGTTTCCAATTATGAGAGTGCTTGTTTACGTAAAGCATTGCCAACACTGGAGTTTATCATTGTTTTTGGTTTTGTTCATTTTACTGATCCAATGGGTAAAATATGTGATCTCATTATTTTAGTTATTAATACATATACATTATTTCATATTAAAGATGTGAGACTTCTTCATATTCCTATGTATCATTTGTATTTCTTAACTTTCTCACTCACCTACTGTTAACTTTGAGAACCTACTACAACCATTGTCTGGGTTTTATTGTCCATAACTTGATCATATTCTTTGCTGCTTTTTTTTTTAATTGAGACAGAGTCTCACTGATCTCACTGATGCCTGGGCTAGAGTGCAGTGGCATCATCATAGCTCACTGCAACCTCAAACTCCTGGGCTCAAGTGATCCTCCTGCCTCAGCCTCCTGAGTAGCTGGAACTACGGATATGCACCACTGTGCCCAACTAATTTTTGTATTTTTTGTTGAGGGGAGGTCTTGCTATGTTGCTGAGGTTGGTCTTGAACTCCTGGCCTCAAGCACTCTTGCCACCTCAGCCTCCCAAAGTGCTGGGATTACAGGCGTGAGCCACCTCGCCCAGCCTGCTTCTTTTCTTTTCTTTTTTTTTTTTGGTCAGTGTCTTATTCCGTATCCATTTTAAATATTTTTGAAACGTTAGTACAAAAGTGAAGAAGCTGAAACAAAATTAACACACACAAATGGCAAAAATTTAAACAGTACGTTTCACATAAGATGAAATTTACCATTTTAACCACTTTCAAGGGTACAGTTTAGTGGTTTTAGTGCATACACAATGTCGTGCAACCACTGCCGCTATCTAGTTCCAGAATATTTCAATCATCCCAAAAGGAAACTCCGCGTCCATTAACGTTTCTTTATTTCCTGGTATACTCCCAGGTCTCCAGATCTGCCCCAACCTGCAGCAACTATTATCTCTCAAAGTGTGCTTCCTTCCAGAATATTCTATGGCTACATATACACCTAATATTACATAAATGATAGGATACCGTCTATGTTGTTCTGCACTTTGCTTTTTCCAAATAGCATAGAGCTTGTTTCATATTGATACTTATGGCTCATAACAGCTAACAAAGATGCTTATTTTGTGCCAGATACTCTTCCAAGCACCTTAGGGGTCTTGCTATCTCACCCTCTAATCTGGAGAACAAGTTTATCGTACAGGTATTGTATTATTATGCCTATATCAAAGTGAGAACATTGAGGCACAGTGAGGTTAAATAACTTCCTGAGGCCACATAGTTAGTGAATAGATCAGTGAGACTTAGAATGCAGGCAGTCCGACCCACAGCCTGTCCTCTTACCTGCTATAGCCTGTTGTCACTCTCATATTATTTTTTAAAATATCTTTATAATCTGCTTTCAATCTCTATACATTAATCTCTATACATTCTATTGTGGAAATTTTATATGATTGAAATCATACAATATGTGGTCTTTTGTGTCTGGTTTCTTTTACTGCACGTTAAGTTTGCAAGATTTATCCATATTGTGTCACATATCACTGTATCATTCCTTTTCATGGCTGTATAATATTCCCTTGAATGGATATACTGCCTTTTGTGTATCCATTCATCCGTTGTTAGGTATTTGAGTTGTTTCCACTCAGGGGAGCCAGGAGCGAGGAATGAGGAACAACTGCTTAATAGGTACAGGGTTTCTCTTTGGGTTGATAACCGTGTCGTGGAACTAGATAGTGGCGATCGTCCTCCAACACTGGGAATGTACTCGATGCCACTGAATTGCACACTTTATGTGGTTAAAATGGTGAATTTCCTGTTAGGTGACCAATGCAAAGAAAGGCTTCGTTGTATTTTATTCTATGACTTCACCATTTATTTAATGTGTCCTAAATTTCTGGACACGTGGGTCCTCCTATCTTTTCATGACTACAAGCAAAAGTTCATTAAATACACATGTCCAGACGTCTTTGTGCCCACGTGTGTCTGTAGGCCGACAGCTTTTTCATTCCTGTGGGATTCAATTCCCCTGCATCTTGACTTGCAGACTCCACCCTACATTGGTCCCCACCCAGGTGGCAGGCCACAGCGTCTGGCAGCCTCAGAGGGTTTCTAGCAGCATGGCCCACAAGGATGACAGTCACCTCCTAGAACCATAACGCTCTGCGAATCTTCTCCCCCAGGTTACTGACCTTCAAGGCCTTTGCCCAGTTCTTTGTCCTGGGCTGCACCTGGGTGTTGGGCGTTTTCCAGATTGGACCCATAGCGGGTGTCATGGCCTACCTGTTCACCATCACCAACAGCCTGCAGGGAGCCTTCATCTTCCTCATTCACTGTCTGCTCAGCCACCAGGTGCGTGGCCACTGCCCTCCCCGTCCACCCCACCACGAGCTCTCCACCCAACACGCCTGTACCAGGACCGTTTCCCTCCATCTGCAAACCGTTTGTCTCGGTCTCCAGGTACGGGAGGAATACAGGAGGTGGATCACCGGGAGGACCAAGGCCAGCTCCCAGTCGCAGTCCTCGGGGATCTTGCTGTCCTCTGTGCCATCCACGTCCAAGACGGTGAGAGACCTTGTGCTTCCCGCAGGTGCTGGAGGGAGGCGTGCTCGCTGCTTAGCGACGCTCCCCGCTGCCGGGTGTCGAGTACCCGCTGGGAGCTGAGTGTGCCCACCTCAGTTAGTTCACACAATAAAGTGAGGGTGGAGGGGTGTGGGTTTGGATGCCGGGCTTCCATGACTATCTGTGTGACCCCAAAAGAGGATAAAATCGTGATGCATACAGATATTGAATGAGCACATTAAGGATTTTATTCTACTCATTAATCAGTGAAGGAACCAGACCAGGTAGAGGTTAATAATTGGCTCAAAAGAGAATGCAAAAAACAGGTTTGTGTGTGTGTGCGTGTGTGTGTGTGTGTGTCTGTGCGCACACACACATATACATACCCATATATATATGCATACATGCACACGTGTATACAGTCGGCTCTCCATATCCATGGGTTCCACACCCGTGGATTCAACCAACTGGGGATCAAAAATATTTGGGTGAAATACTGCATATGCACACGCTGTTTTTTCTTGTCATTCTTTAAGCAGTGCGGTTAACAACTGTTGACGCCGCATTTCCACCGTATTAGAGGGTATTAGAAGTAATAATTTAAAGTATACAGGAGAATGTGTGTCCGTTATATGCAAATATTATGCCATTTTATGTCAGAGACTCGAGCATCTGCAGACTTTGGAACGTCTTCCATGGACGCAGGGATGGTTGTATGTGGCTTTCTAGCTTCTAGAATGGGAGCTATCGATGGCAAAGCGACTGGGAATGGTTTTGGGGTTTGCCAACAGTGTCTGCCACCCTAGAGATAATCACTTTTAACATTTCAATGTTTATCTTTCCAGTCTTTGTTGTTATATTTATCTTTGTGTATTTTTAAGACCCAGACCCCGGTAGGTATGACCCTTGGAATCGCGTTTATATTAACAGCTGCCGACTCTGAAAAAATTGTCTTTTCTCTCTCGCAGGGTTAAAGTCCTTTCTTGCTTTCGAATATGCCATGGAGCCACCGTTAGGACAGCAGGTGCCTACTCGGAAATCTCTTCGCAGCTTAACCTGCAAATGAAGAATCCCACCAGCCCCAGAACTCGCTGGGTGACTCAGAGCTTGGGTGTATGGGGCCGTCTTTCCACGGTTTTACGCAGTGGTGAGAAACAAGAGTTTCTGCTCCAAAGGACCGTTCTGTCTTCTGTGTTCTGCACCTCTGTAAATTTCCAGAGTTTGGGGAAATAACAGGTCTCGATGGCATGACCAAGAACGTCTGTCTACCGTTTTGTTTTCTCCTGCATTCGCTGGTGCGAGGCTCCGAGCATGTCTTGCAGCATCTATCAGCGTCTGACACAGAGCAGCTCTCAATCAATGATTTGTCGTCTGTCCGACTCAGTCACCCCAGGACAAAGATTCTTCCTGCTTTTAAAGAAATGGTCAGTGAAACTGTAGTGAGAGTCCCAAGGAACCAATACAACACATAGACACATAGGCTACTTTGGCACAAACTCTCCCATGATGGTGTTTCCTGTGCCTCATGCCTGCCAAGGCTGGTAACAGTTTGGATGCAGACAGCTACAGTAGACAGAAGATCGGTAACAGTGACAGCGAATGTTAAGTGAGCGTTTACCCTACGAATCACCTTCCAGGTCCTATCTCATGGACTCCTCCCAACATTCCCAAGAAGCAGACACTGTTCTCAGCCCTGTTTTACAAGATGAGGAAACTGAGGGTCAGAGTGGCTCCAGGGCTTCCCCAAGATTACATAACAGCTAAGCGCTGGAGCCCAGCATCTCGCTATGCGACACTGCCAGTCTAGCATATTTCATGACGGGCTTCTACACAACTTAAATTTTTGTCTTCTTGCTTCTTTGAGTAACACCATGTTTGCTAAACCCAACAGTCCAGGGGCCAGAAGGTGGTGGCCTGTTTGGTGCCACAGAGAAGAGAGGAAGTGATCACGATAAGACTCCACCGTTGCACATTTGGAATGAATTACGTCGATATCTTCATATATGCATGCGAGTGAAGTCAAAGAAGAGAGATACTCAATACTGAAAGTTAAAAGAAAATAGCTACCCCAATGGTCAAGAACTTCATGGAGATTTGAGTTTTCTGCAAATGAATTTACCTATGAAACTTTTTCTAATTTGGTTTTATTATCTTTTTAAGCCCATCTCTCATTTTGATTTAGAAAAAAGAATCCCACGCCTTTCCTTTACATCTGGGTTTCTCAGCCTTGGCATTATTGACATTTTGGGCGGATAATTCCTTAGTGTAAGGGACTGTTCTTTGCATTGTAGGATGTCGAACAGCAGCCATGGCCTCCACCCACTAGATGGCAGTAGTACCCTATCTCTTGGGCATGACAACCAAAAATGTCCCTGGACATTGTTCAATATTCCCCTGGGGGTCCCAGAATCGCCCCTTGTTGAGAACTGCTGCTTTAAATGTCCTTTTTGGTTCCAAAGAAATTAAACGTTGCATCTGGAAGCAAATCAAAATGCCAAAACTATCGATTGTGTTTTATTTCAACACACCCTTGGAAATTCAGATCCGCCACTCTGAGGATATGAGCCTCACACCACCAACCCTGTGGCCATCCACTCCAGCTGGATAAGATGATATTATAACTTTTCTCGAACCAAAGAAAATAGGATGTTTAACACTCACCACCTAGGAGAAGGGCTGTCCTCTTAGCGCTAGCTTCCCCGGCTTCTAACTGATAACAGAGAGGGAACTGTAGAATCTTATCTCCTATTTCTCAAGCAGTCTTGGGGGTTTCAAGACAGCCAGCCACTCCTTGTGTGTGTAATTTTCATAGTTCAGCCCAACGTGAAATTAAAGTCACCTTACAGGTTATAGATGGGTTTAAAGATTCTTTGATTTGTAATTGGTTAAAGAAATGAAGCTTTGTCTAAAGGCTTGGAAAGTTTTAAGTTAAGATCAGGAAGTCTGTTAATCAAAGACAAGCCACTGGACATGTACCCAGACTCAAGGTTATACATACTGACGACCAGCAGGTTTGTTTTGCACAGCCTTAGGTCAGTTAATGAGTTACAAATGATGTCTCCAAAAAGGGAGGGGGGCGTGATGAGGCATGTCTGACCTCCCTTCTCATGGCCAGCAAGGCAGCTGTAGGGTATTCCCTTGGCCAAGAGGGGGTCCATTCAGTCAGCCGGTGTGGGAAGCCTTAAGATTTCATTTTAGTTGACACACAGATGCCTAAAGCAGTACCTGACAGTTCCCTGTCTCAGTCAGGAGTGTGAGACCAGCTTGAGCAAGAGCAAGACCCCATCTCTACTAAAAATAGAAAAAAGTTGGCTGGGCATAGTGGGGCACACTTGTAGTCCCAGCTACTCAGGAGGCTGAGGCAGGAGGATCGCTCGAGCACAGGAGTTTGAGGTTGCAGTGAGCTATGATGATGCCACTCACTCTACCTGGGGTGACAGAATGAGACTCTATCTCAAAAAAAAGAGTGTGGGGCCATGTTTTAATATCACATGAGGCACCAAGCACACTTGACATAAGAGGTTTGTTGGAAGCTAAGGTGACGGTGTAGTTTAAAGGCAAGATCTCTCTGACTTCCGGTGAACCAGGCAAGAAAGAACATTTGTAGGAGTCACTAAACAGAACCTTTTGGCATCAGGTCTGGGCCACCATTCGGATAGGGCGCAGCTGCTGGGCTCTATCCCGTTCCTGCAAGCACTATATTTCCAGCCAATCTGCATACTGAATACCACTATGTCAGGCATGGGAAGTTTGCTGAGGAACAATTTCTTTTAAATGACCAGCAAAGGAGGAAGTGGTGTTTTGTGTTTTGTGTTTTGGATCCACATGCTGGTAAAAGAGTGGTGTTTCCTTCTTGTCTTGTCTTAAAATGTGGTTTCCTCCGTTGTGACAGTTGATAAGAAAAGTTTGTCTTCTGGTTAGAATGCGTAACGCTGGTATAGTGCCAGGGTGTGTGTTAGTGGGTGACTTGGGGAGAAGCAGTTGATTCAGTCAAATGGGTTAAATGAGGAGGGTTTGATGCAGGGACTATTTATTTAGATGTGGGCAGGACCAAGGGAATGCAACAAAGGATGGTGGGACATCCTGGGACTAGCAATGTGGGGGGAGCCGTCACCTCCCCTTGTCTTGGAAAGGTGAAGAGAGAAAGCAGTAATAGGAACCTGGCAAGGGCTTTAGCCTGCAGCGGAAGAATCCAACCACTGCCCACGTGTGCAGCCCCTGCAGGGAAGCAGGAGCTGGGGAAATCAACATCCCCATTGCTCACTCCTCCAGCCCTCCCCTCTCCTTGCAGGGCTACCGTTGGCCAAACTCAGCTTCAAGGCAGAGAACATGAGGGTCTGATGTTGCAGAACACACAGGGCAACCTCTCAACGCACAGAGCAGGGTGCACACGGGTGGAGAACGGGTATGTTTCACAATCGCCTAAAGTGAATTCTTGCATGTTTGTTAAAGTTTGAGAGGTGACCGCACCACGTCAAACAATCGGTTCTGTGATGCTGACAGATAACGGTGACAGCCTGCTTCTCCACCAAGGCCCAGGTGAGACACCCAAAGTAGAGCTTTGAGAGGAAGATTATCAACAGATTCTCCTGTCTGACCACTTCTGCTTTTGTTATGTCTTAATTTGTTCATTGGCTCATGGGTCACTCGAGTGTTTGTCTCTGTCTGTCTGGGGTTTAGCATTCAAACTCCCCGAGAGACACAAGCTGAATGGATTGGTCAGTCAACGTCCAACGCAGAGAACTATTCTAAGGTAAGTTGTCCTTCTTGGCCACCTCCTATGTTGTTGGTTGCCATGTGGACAAATCTATGTTCCAATCAGCTGTGGTTGGGAGGTGAAGTCAAATAGCAACATGTCAGACAACACGTGTGCAAAGAACTCCTTCCGGGCTACCTTGGGAAGTGTATCAGTTAGTTTTGGCTGTGTAACAAATCATCTCTTCCACAAATTTTTTAATTTTTTTTTTTTTTGAGACCAAGTCTCACTCTGTCACCCCAGGCTGGAGTGCAGTGGTGCAATCACAGCTCGTTGTGGCCCTGAACTCCGGGGCTGAAGCACTCCTCCTGCCTCAGCCTCCTGAGTAGCTGGAACTACAGGTGTGCACACCATGGCCTGCTAATTTTTCCTATTTTTAGTACAAATGGGGTCTCGCTCTTGCTCAGGCTGGGCTCAAACTCCTGACCTCAAGTGATCCTCCTGCTTCAGCCTCCCAGAGTGCTGGGATTATAGGTGTAAGCCACCATGCCCAGCCAATTTTTAAAATTTTTGCTTAATATAACAACTATTTTATTTATTTCTTGATTTTGTGGCATGGCTAGATATTGCTTCTGACCTGGGCTGGCTTTGCTTGTCTCTTCCATGTGTTTATGGTCAGTGGTGGGTCAGCTGGTTGAACGATCTCACACTGCCTTACTCACACACCTGGTGGTCGGCAGGTTGGCAATCAGAGTGATGGATTGGTCCACATGGTCTCTTTTTCTCCAGAAATCTAGCACTTTCTCTGCATCCTTTTAATTATTGTTTTCTTGGCCAAAGCCAGTCACACGGCCAAGGTTTGAGTCAGTGTGGAAGAGAGACCACACTCAAAGACGGGGAAATCTTGCATTCATTTATGCAAACAATCTATCACATGCAGAATTGGGCGGTGAGCACACAGAATGCTCAGAATATCAGGGACTTCTCTTGGGTTTAAGCATTTCAGTTTTACATTCAGACAATTTCGATTTCTATAGAGCTGACAATGACAGACTGGAACTCTCCATTTGTCATTCACAGGATGACACAGCAGACATGTTGAGTGGTACGTGCAGAGGCTGACCGCCAGCCCACCTATGCAGCAATCACTTGGGGATTATTTCAATACTTTACTGCATTTGCTGTTATTAATTTATAAAAATAAATGAGAAACAGAAAACTGAAGGTGTTAATATTAGGGATAATAAGGCTGTGCTTCATAAATGTAATAAAATCGAGACAAGAAGTAAACCACTAGATGTGAATTTGGACTTGCCAGACTGGAGGGTGTTTGTCATATCCATGCTGGACCTTACCAAGGGTCTTCTAATACAAAGGAGACAAATATTCCAGTACACCAGTCTAGTCAAACCCGTCAGGAATTTTCACCAGCCAAGTATTACTAGATCTGTGTAAGCATGTTGGGTGGCCCTATCCCAAAGACCAAGAACATGGGTAAGTCGTTTTCCCAAAGTGGTTCACTGAGAAGTGATTCTGAAATAGGACACCGGGCAATACAGAGATAGGCTGACTTCTCCCTTCCACACCCTGGCCTTCAACTCTTGCAGTAAAAATTAAAGTGTCTCTTCAAAGTTGGACCCGCTTCCTTGGCATCCACGAGAGTTGAATTCTCTCTCCGTTATTTATTTGGTTTGCCCCATTTTGAACACCGTCACCATTTCCAGGTTCATTTCCCAAGACACTTTAATACGGCCCACGCTGGTAATGTACGATTTAAATTACTGTAATGAAAAGAGAACTAATGTACCTTGGACCATTAGGCAAACTCCCTGACCAAAAACCCAGCCTTCTGGTCTACCCACAAGACTCCTTGAGAAATTAGACCTCCTGATAAGTGCGATGCACTTCCTCTTCTGTTAGTTCTGAGGAGCTACCAGGCTGGGTTGGAGGCAAGGACTTTTCGTCTTTGGGGTGAGTAGGCATAGCACGTTCTCATAAAAAATAGAGAAATGTTTTATCTGTGATTGTGAGTCTGGAAAAATACTCTGTCTCTGGAAATCTTTTCAAGGAGACCTCGTTCCACGTCCTGTTGCTTTATTTCTTGAACTCTGATAAAGAGCATCTATCTCACGTTTATTTGTTCACTTCTGCTGGGACAAGGAGTGTGAGTTGTTAGGTGGGAGTGCACAACCTACTGAGACGCTTCCGCACGCTCAGAGGAGGTGGCCAATTGTGTCTTAAGGGGCTTCAGGTGGACTGAAATGATAACGTTTCAAGAAAAAAGAGTCTAAAGCAAATGTAGCTTATAATTAATTTGTTGTGAAAAATGAGGAAAACAAGATCTTAAGAAACGAGTGAGTTTCCTGAAGATGTACGGGGAGTAAAGAAGTTTTTCATACACCTCACCCCCATAAGAAACACATCAGTGCAGTTCTACGCCAGGCTCACAAGGGAAGGGCTGTGTGCTTGACTTGTGGCCAAAGTAGAGAGATTTGCAGGTCAACGTTTTTCAGCCAGCTGGTTATGACCCATTGGAGGGGGATGGACCACGAAACCCACTAGTGCATAACAACCAGCCTGGCAGCCACCAAACGTGAAAAGGACCATGATTATAAAATATCAGATGCTGTGCATAGTGAGTATTATTTTGTGAACTTGGTTCAGTTCCCGCTGTCTCTCTCTCTCTCTCTCTCTCTGAAATGCATTTCTTGCAGTTGGTTATGGCCAAAAATCTCTCCAAATCAGCATCCCTAGAGGTCTGAACTGTTGTGACAAATATTGTCACCTCTTTTAGGTAAACATACTTTAGTTAAATTGATTTCAAATGAGGCCTCAAAAAACAATTGTCCTCACTTGGATGGGGATCCTTTGCTTTGAGAGTTTCTCCAGCATATTTTAGAATAAAAATATTTTTTTTGCAGGATGAGAAACATGAATGAAAAAGGGAGACAGGTATTGAGAGAGGGAAGGCATCCGGAGAGGGACTAAGGATAATTCCTCCCGTGGGACACGAGATTCCCACTGCAGAATTTGATTTTCAGTCAGGCGATATTGCCCACTGCAGAGAGTGCGAGCTGGGGGTCCCCTGGCTCTGTGTTTAAGGAAAACGCGGATGTGGATGTCTCTAGCTAGAGCCTGTGGTCTCCAGTTCCCCACGGTGCCCACTGCTTTCCACCCATGGTCTGACTTATTTGTGTGCCATGTCTAGCTCCCGGTGACATTGAGGTTTCTGACCTGGGGGAG